ATTTTTCATGAAGAACACACTTTCTGTTCAAGATTATTCAGAAAAAAATATTAATCTATTTTTCATGAAGAACATGCTTTCTACTCAAGGGATTTAGGAAGTAAAATATTTTGAACTATCCTTTATATACTAACATGTTGAGCATATGGCATTTTGACTAAATTTTACTCAAAATTATTGTAATTTCTTAGAGGTGCAAGTGGGCTTATGTTTGGTACAAGTGAAAATTGTGACATGAAATATAATTCTCACTCACTTGTACCTCTCCAGTCTAGTCTAACCTTACTTTAAATTATTGTCACTCACTTGGATTGGGTTTATCTCGTATTCGCATCTCAACATAAGAGAATTCGAGAGGCTTGTAAAGGATCTTATTTTGATGATTCGAACTGTTCATTTTGTTGGGCCCTTAATGTATATCATATATGAAAAAATTATGTCAATCTAATAGTTATATTATCTTCATTTTAATGTGTTTCTCCCTAAAAAAGTGGATGGTCTATTTAAAAAAATATACATTTGCCGTTAATTTTTTCTGAAACAAAATGTAATAAAATAAAAATATTACAATTATTGAATTTATCTACTTCTTTTTTTTTATAAATGATATACATTAAAATCCTATAAAATAAATGGTTCGTATTATTAAAATGAGATCCATAATAAACCTAACTTGTCCTTCAAATTTTTTAATATTAAAATGTGAAAATGAGAAAATCCATATCCATTCAATTTCCCATTTACTTTATTTTACTAGTGATCCAAATAACATACTGGGCCAGTTGCTACAATAATTGAAGGGTATGGATTCTGTCCAATCCGGAATCAGACTAGACCATGTTGTTGGGTCCATGAGGGCCCACCACGGGTCTCGTTTTGATAATCTGAACCGTTTAATGTGTAGAAATCATCGAGTACTATATGTCTGTAAAAAATCACGTTGATTGGATATCGATAGCTATGTGATCAAAACAGTTTTTTGTCAGCCGTTAATTTGTTCACTGTCCAAATTTTTTAATACGAAACTGATTTGATCATATAGCTATTGATATCCGATCAATGTGATTTTTTACAAATATATAGTACTCGACGAGTTCTACACATTGAACTATTCAGATTATCAAAACGGGACCCGTAGTAAGCCTCTAGAAATCCAATAATACAGTCCAATCTGATTCAGATCCCGCACTGGACAGAAACCGTACCCATAATTGAAATATCACATGAATTTGATAGGATGCATATGCAATGACACAAAACTGCTCCACACAAGACGACAAAGAAAGAAAGCTGATATTTCACCAAATACGAAAATGTCTTCCACAAGCTGCCATGCACCACTGGTGTCCCATGCACACCATAAAGGCGCTGTTTGGCAACCGCACGGCTAAAATAGTCCAAAAAATTTTAAGGCCTTGTTTAGCATGATTTAAAAAAGTTAAAAAGTCAGAAAGTTACTATCCTATTTAAATCACATCACCTTATTTAAGTCACATCACCTTTCTAACACATCATTCAAACCCAACCCATACCTAACCCATATTTCATAAAAAATTAAAAAGTACACTTATTTAGATCATCCCAAACCATCCCTAAAAAAAAAGCCAAATAGCCTCAAATAATACTTAAACTAATAATTTTAATTTATATATATATATATATATTTTAAAAAAAGAAAAGAAAAGCAGTTGGGCAATTGGCAGCCTACACTGTCAACGTAACAGTGTAGGTACTGTGCAGTGACAGCGAGTCACATAACAATTAAATTATAATTTTATTCCTTTAGATTAATTTTCAAAAATGTGAGATTAGGGATAAATTTATTATTTTCACTTCAAACATCATTTCAATACAACAATTCAAATAAAAATTCATCTCATCTTCCTAAATACAAAAATTAAAATATCCTATTAAAATAGCTAAATAGTCAATAAGCCTAAAATACAGCCACTTCCCAAACAAAGCCAAAGTTTGCCTAATAATTCCTTAGCACTGTACAAATAAAAAATTTTATGCAGATTAATATGGTCTTATGTTTTTCTATTGGGCGAATTACACTAATAATTTCTATAGTTTAGGACTCGTGTCATTTTAATTTTTGACTTTTTAATTGTGACACATTTGATCTTGAATTTTGAATTTTGTTTCAAATAAAGACAATTGAAGATACCATTGCTCAATTTTAAGGCAAAGTCGTCAATTTAATAAAATATAACCTGATTTGATAAAAATAAATGTTAAAAAAATATTTTTGAATTTTTAAAAATTATTTTTACTTACCAAAGATTTTTTACTTACCAAAGATAAAATTATGTAAAATTGATAAATTTTTTACACTTTTTTTTACCAAATTAATTTTTATTATGTGTTTAGATGATGATCATGTAATGAGTGGTTATTTTTATTTTCATTAAATTAGTTTCTATTTTTTCAAAAGTTAAATACGGCAACAACTTTGATATTATTATTAAACTAATCCATTAAATTAAAAAATTCAAAATTAAAAACATTTCATATATTAAATATATCGATTCCACATTAAAAGCCTAACCATTACTCATTACATGATCATCATCCAAACACGTAATAAAATTTAATTTCGTAAAATAAATGAATAATGCGTAAAAGATTTATCAATTTTACATAATTTTATCTTTGATGAGTAGAAATAATTTTTAAAAATTCAAAAATAATTTTTTGACATTTATTTTTGTCAAATTAGTTTATATTTTATCAAATTGACGATTTTGCCTTTGAAATTGAGCAATGGTATCTTCAATTATCCTTATTTAGAACAAGCAGAGTCAAATGTATCACAATTGAAAAGTCAGAAACCAAAGTGACACAAATTCCAAACTATAAGAACCATTAGTAGAATTCACCCTTTTCTATTTTAACTCAAAGAACTTATTATACATAATTTAAAAAATCTAATTACAACGTCATGTTAATTTTTTGTACAAAAATTTTACGGTTAGTTACATTTTTGGTTCCCAAAGAATGAGTTTGTATCCACTACAAGAAAAAGTGTTTTGGCGACCAAAATTACATTTTTTGTATCCTTATTTGGAACAAGCAGAGTCAAATGTATCACAATTGAAAAGTCAGAAACCAAAATGACACAAATTCCAAACTATAAAGACCATTAGTAGAATTCACCCTTTTCTATTTTAACTCAAAGAACTTATTATACATAATTTAAAAAATCTAATTACAACGTCATGTTAATTTTTTGTACAAAAATTTTAGGGTTAGTTACATTTTTGGTTCCCAAAGAATAAGTTTGTATCCACTACAAGAAAAAGCGTTTTTGGCGACCAAAATTTCATTTTTCGTCGCTGAAAGTAGTAGAAATGGTGACTAAAATGGAATTAGTCGTCAAAATTGAACACTTTTGCCGACTAAAAGACTTTAGTCGCCGAATACAATGGTTTTAGCCACTAAAAGGCAGTTTAGTCGCCGAATGTAGGGGTTTTAGCGACTAAAGGTTGTTTAGTAGCCAAAAGTGACGGTTTTTGGCGACTAAAATAATTTAGTAGCCAAAAGTGATGGTTTTGGCGACTGAAAAGCAGATTGGTCGCCGATTGTAGGTGTTTTGCCGACTAAAAACAGATTGGTCGCTGAAAGTGAAGCTTTTTGGCTACAAAAAAAAATTAGTAGCTAAAAATTGAGTATTGGCGACTAAAATTCAGTTTAGTAGCCAAAAGGGAACGTTTTTGGCAACTAAAAATAAGTTTCGTCGCCAAAACTGTAGATTTTTAATTGGAACTTCTTTTTTTAGCGACAAAAAAATAATTAGTATCCCAAAATAATAGAATTGGCGACTAAATAATGGTTTTAGTAGCCAAAAGTGGCCTAAATTTTTTTTTAGTAAATAATTTATTTTTTACATAAATATTATTTTGTATTAATAGCAGTTAATATATATATATATAAATAATATATATCGCATATGTGGCATAGTGGAGGGAGTGTTTGGCAAAAGCTTTGGAATGTGGTGGTGGGATGTCTCAAGTTCGAAACTTGCGAGCAACACAAGTTCAAATTTTTTTTTTTTTTAAATATGCTTTTGGCGACTAAAACAGGTGGTCGCCAAAAGCTTTAGTATTGGCGACGAAAAAATAGTCGGCAAATGTATAAATTAAAAAAAAAATCACTATTGGCGACTAAAACTATAGTCGCCAAATGTATAATTTAAAAAATATAAATGAGCTTTGGCGACGAAAATTTTAGTCGCTACAGAGTTTGTTTTTGGAGACTAAAAGTCGGTTAGTCGCCCATACCTTCCGCCACAGTTTCCAGCGACAAACATGGGAACTAAAAAATTTAGTCGGGAAAACCCAAAATCCGGCTTTTGGCTACTAAAAAATCACTTTTGGCGACTAAAAATTTAGTCGCCAAATGTGTATTTTCTTGTAGTGATCACTTTGACGTATAAAAGTGTTTCAATTTGATCTTCAATATTAATTGTATCAACCTGGTTTCTAATGTATAAAAAATATTTCAATTTAATTCCACAATGTAATTTTGTTAATAGACATAATTTAAACATTTTGCGGGGCTAAAAAACTAAATTGAAATGCTTTTTATACATTTGGGAACAAATTAAAATGCTTTTATACATTGAGAATAAAATAGACAAAATTTAAACATTAGAATCCAAAAGGACACAAACTCATAATTTGGAGACTAAAATTATAAATCTTTTTTCTTATCAAATTGCTGTTCTCCTCTAAAAACAGGCATTCATTACTCTTTCGGAAAACTCTTAGAATTTGTTAGGTTCTACAATTCATTGAAGAAAAACAAAAGGGAAAAGAGAAATAAAATTTGTTATATATACTTATTTTTTATAAGTAACTAATTAAAAATATAATTGTTGATAAATATATATATATACATATATCTATTTTTATTATATAAAACACAATTCAATTTAATGCGAATAATTTTTTAAAATTTTATCACATTTTTGCATGTCTAAATTACTCATAAGAATTTTTCTTTTCTCTTTGATAGAGTAAAGCAATTAAATGTGTTTTTGAAAAAACCCACTTCACCCACTATAGGCCATCTCTAACGTTCATCAAATGAATCACCAAATTCAAATTTATTGAAAAATATGTATTTTTTGTGCTCTAATGATTTTATCAAAACGGTTTCAAATTGAGAAAATATCAAATATTTCATCAGACTGAAGATTTGGAAAGCAACCACCATGGACGTTGGGTGGGGAAACACACCGGACGACCGGCAGGATGTCCGGCTGGTTGTCCCCCGATCATCCAGTTAAGCAAACACTCGCCAGAACAGATCTGGATTCTAATATGCATTGAGGATGGGGGTGTTCCTACAAAAGACTCGCACAATATACTACGAGTTGCCTCACTTTCTTGGCCTTTTTCAGTCCAATCCCGATGACCCATTCATTCCCACCACAAGGTCCTTGCCACAGCTGAACAGTCCCAGAAGCCGCCTTCACAGACCACCCACCACAAGCACACCAGTCGTCTTGCTTCCGAACATAGTCCGTACCTTCTTCAACATGCTCATGACCCGGTATGTGAAACTGGGTTCATCTCAATTTCTCCAATTTTCTTTCATACGCTCTGTTTGGTTTGATTGGTGAAAGAAAGAAAAAAAAAAGGGGGGCAACTACCCATTCTTCTTCTTTAGCTTTCTTAAGTAGTCTATTCTCCGATTTTTATTTCTTAATTGTGATTATCCATTTGATTTTTTTTTTTTAATTTTTATTAAGGTCAATTGGTATCCATGGGGTGAAGAAGCATTCGAGGAAGCTCGCAAGAGAGACGTACCCATCTTCTTATCAAGTACATTCTATCTTTCTTTCGTCAAACCCATTTTTCCCCCCAGTTGACTAGCTGCTGAATTGTGAAACTAACTGTGATGATGGGTTTTAATTTCCTCATCTCCTCGTCTTTTTCAAAGTTGTGGGAAACTATTGGACCAAGAACAACTACAACAATGGTGGAAACAGCAACAACAACAATTGATATGACTCTCTCTCCTCTCTTGGGTACTTCTCTAACATGGCTTCCTTGATCCCAAACAATGGTAGAAACAGAATAGAAAATGGTTGGATAAACAACCACAAAGTATCATTCTCAAATGCAAACTCAAGTGACAATTTTGCACTGACTGGTCGTCCGTTCGATTAACTGGTAATTTGATGAAAAGTCAATCCTTTAGTTGGAACATGCGATATCAAATAAAGGAATTCATCCTTTTTTTACTCAGATTTGGTAAAATTTTTAGTGAACCGTTGGAGATATCCAGAAGTGGGTTTATGATATTCAATATCAGATCTAATGCGCTTGTTTTTAAAAAAGTAGTAAGGAGCAGCATTATATATCATCAATTCCTCTCTCACAATAACACTCCCGCAATTCAAGTTCATGACAATTTAACTTTGATATTACTTGTCATGTCTCCTAAAACCAATTAGTATTAATGAAACCTTTACTTTTGTCTTTTATAGCATTCGACATTGTGTCTCACGGATTTTTTTTTAGAGTAGTCATAGGGAGTGACATTATGTACCAATATTATAATATGTAGGAAAAATTAGTGAAATATTATTTTCCAACTTTGTGTAGTAAGAAAGATCTAAGATATTTTTTTTTTTATTAGCCAAGGTCTCTTGATGAAATTTCTCTGTAAAAATTGAAATTTCTCTGTGTCGGGACTAAAATTTCTCTGTGTTAAGACTGAAATTTATTTGAGTCGAATTTTCTCTGTGAAAATGTCGAGAGATCTTAATTATTATAAAAATATTATATGTCTTTTATTTTATAAAATCTTAATACCAGGAGTCTTTAAAAAAATTCTCCTAGAAAATATGAATGTGTAATAATTTTCTTTTCTTTAGTAAAATTGTAGTTTTATAGAAAAAAAAAAAAAAAGCTTCCAGCTCTTTTTCTTTTCCTGTTTTCGTTTCATTTTTTCTTCACAAATCAAATTTCAGACACAATCTCAGAAGTTTCCAAGCCAGTTTTTGAACCATCCCTATTAAAGCAAATATGGAACTATTGTATCATACCCTGATGTGAATTTGAAGAACAAATTAATGTACTTGATAGGCTGATCTTAATTATGCCACAACTGTAATTTCAACACAGTGACCCTCAAAAAAAAGCCCATCTGTACTGGGCTAGGCATATAAAACAGCTGATCCTTGACCCTTTATTGTAAAAAACTTTTCCCAAAGTACGATTGCAAATAGAAACTTCTACTTACCAGAAAAATACCAGAAAATTATTATGAATTTTTTATAGGCAAATTACACTAAAGGTCCCTATAGTTTGGGTTTTTTATCATTTTGGTCATTGACTTTTTAATTGTGACACACTTGACCCTAAATTTTAAATCTTGTTCCAAATAAGGACAATTGAATATACCATTGCTCCATCTCAAGGGCAAAGTCGTCAATTTGATAAAATATAAACTAATTTGACAAAAATAAATGTCAAAAAATATATTTTTTATTTTTAAAAAATTATTTCTACCCACCAAAGGTAAAATAATGTAAAATTGATTAATATTTTACACATTTATTTATTTTTTTATCAAATTAATTTTTATTATGTGTTTTGATGATGATCATATAATATGTGGTTGTTTTTATTTTTATTAATTTAGTTTTTGTTTTTCCAAAAGTCAAATATGGCGACAACTTTGATATCATTATTAAACCAATCCATTAAATCAAAAAATTAAAAACTAAAAACATTTCATATATTAAATATATTGATTACACATTAAAACCTTAACAAGTACCCATTACATTTTTTTTTTTTTGGATCAAGAACAACTACCCATTACATGATCATCATCCAAACAAATAACAAAAATTAATTTGGTAAAAAAATAAATAAATGTGTAAAAGATTTATCTATTTACATAATTTTATCTTTGATGGATAGAAATAATTTTAAAAAATTCAAAAATATTTTTTGACATTTATTTTTACCAAACTAGTTTATATTTTATCAAATTGACGATTTTATCATTGAAATTGAGCAATAGTATCTTCAATTGTCCTTATTTGGAACAAAATTTAAAATTCATGGATAAATGTGTTACAATTGAAAAGTCATGGATCAAAGTGACACAAACCCCAAACGATAGGGACTGTTAGTGTAATTCCCTTATTTTTTATCTATGGTGTGCATTAAGCTTGATATTGTTAGGTTAAATTTTGAGTGAATCTTGACCATTAATTTTAAATTCTGAGTAATTTTCTGTTTTTTTTTTTTTTTGCTACATCTATTGTAATTCTAATTACAAATTGCTAGCCTAGCTAGTACATATCAGTTTGACAGAAGCATACAAAAACACAGCTAGCCCAAATATTCTCCTGTCACTCTCTTCCACTCAATCAATGACCCACCACCCACCTCACAATTCTCCTTTAAAATGGTCACCCTTCCCTTCAATAGGTCACCATGCCCTAATTTTCTTTTCTCTATCCAGCCATGGCTGCCTCCACCGTGGGCATTTTCATTTTCTCTCTCCTCTTTTTGTCGACATTCTCCCATGCTTGTATTCCATGCATGCCCAACAAGCCACCTCCAGCGTGCATGCCCAACAAGCCACCTCCAGCGTGCATGCCCACCAAGCCACCTCCAGCGTGCATGCCCACCGAGCCACCTCCAGCGTGCATGCCCAACAAGCCACCTCCAGCGTGCATGCCCACCAAGCCACCTCCAGCGGCTCCACCGGTGAACCCCTTTTGCCCTATAGACACATTGAAGCTCGGGGCTTGTGTTGACCTCCTTGGAGGGGTGGTCAACCTTGTCATTGGTTCACCACCTTCGAGCCAGTGTTGTGCTGTGCTCGAAGGCTTGGTAGACTTGGAAGTTGCGGTTTGCCTTTGCACCGCTATTAAGGCTAATGTGCTTGGGATTAACTTGGACATACCTGTTGCGCTTAGTTTGATAATCTCAACATGTGGGAAATCTATTCCTCCAGGCTACAAATGTGGCTAGAAAAATGGGTGATTTTGAACCAAATGACTCAGTGTGTTGTGGTCTTGAATTTGTTAAGAGTGTGTTGCAAATATATGTCTGTATGAGTGGTTTGGTGTTTATTGCAGTGGTTACTAATCTTTCTTTATTTTATTTTTTATTGTGATTGTTGGTTAACTGTTCTGGTTGATGTGTGATTTGCTCTAATAAGATGGGTTGTTTTTATTATTATCATTCAATATCTTTTTGAATTATTGTAAATTCAATTGGATTAATAAAGTATGCATTCAACGGTGATGTGTTCTTCCCTCTTTTCCTTTGTTATTTTCTATTATTTTTAATAAAAAAAAATTACTTTTTCCCAAGCCAAAAAAAAAAGTGATGTGTTAATTAATTATTAAAAATAAAATGTTAAGGTTGCAACAACTCAATTGTCCATTTAATTTTCATCCACCTTTGCAATGTTTTATCCGTGGTTTGATTTACTATTGCCTAAAGACACTGTTGTATATATATATCCTTTGCAATGTTTTATCTGCGGTTTGATTTACTATTTAACCCTCAAAGACACTAGTTGTATATATATCCTTTTTCTTTTTCTTTTTCTTTTTTTTATTACTTGTTTATTCTTTTCTTGTTGGGCAATTACTGTTTGTGGACTTGGATAAAGCCATTTTAATCATGAAATCTAAAAAACTTAACCACTAAATACATAGGAGATTCTTGATCACACATTTATTCAATCCACACTCACCAAAAAATATTTTTTATTACAAACTTTTTAATAAATTGAAAATTTGTATACATAAAATTAATACATAAGGATGTGATAAGTTTTGATTTTATTGATTTGCAACAAAAATCCATTAGCATAACTTATATTTTCAAAAACATTATTTTCATTTTATTCTTGTCAAAAATTTTGTATAAAAAATGTTGTTGAGTATCATTTTCTTTACCATTAAGTGAAAATTTATTTTAAAAATAAAAGAATTCTCTCTACACAATACCACCACCACTCCCCATCCTCTTTCTCTATAACTCTCTCTTATTTGAAACTCAAACCCTAATTTTTTAAAACCCTAACCAGATAAGAAGAAAAGATGATGAAGAAAGAGAGCATAGGAGGAAGAAAGAGTGGAGAAGAAGGGGCAGCAGGCAGGGAAAAGGACGTGTTTTTCTTTTTATTCGTGATTATTCTTGTGCCTCAACTCCTAGTTCTACACACTCACATTATTATTGTCTTAAGTTAATTCTTTCTTTTACGCTGTGTTTGGTTGAAGGATTTGAAAAGAGAAAGAAAAAATGTGTGTGAAACTAGATAAAGTATAAGTATGTTTTATTCGTATTTCACCTACCTTTTCTATTTCTCTTTCCAAATCTCTCCTCAAATCCTCCAACCAAACACAACATTAAGGCCTCGTTTGGAAACACTATTTTAATAACTTTTTGACTTTTTGGCTAAAATATGAAATAAAAAAAAAACTAGTATGTTTAGAATGAATTTTTTATTTTTTACGAAAAGATGTGCAAAAAGTAGATAGAAAATAAAATTTTTGAGTTTTTTGTATAAATTACAGACTTTTTGATTTTTTTAGTAACTTTTTCGCTTTAAAACTAAAACAAGCACATGCCAAATGAGACCCAAGTATGCTTAAATTTCAAAAAAAAAAAATTGATGACAAGCAAGATTTGTTGAGTTTTTGAGCTAGTTAGTTTTTGATCCATTGGGAGCCAAAGGAGAGCTTTGGGTGTATGCGGAAAGGAGGTTTAAATAAATTAGTATGCATTTCAATGGTGTGCTAAACCTTGACAATTTCTCATGAGTCTCCCCTAAGTACTTTTAACAAACACATAAAATTTTTCATAAAAAGAGTATTCCACATTTTGTAACATTTTGTTGGTAAAAATTCAATTTAGACTCAATTGGCAGTGATTGATTGACAGACTAAATAGCTTTTAAATAAACATTAAAAAGATCAGATTTTGTGATTGAATTTTATGCCTTCAACAAATTAAGGATTTCCCTAGAGGTAATTAACCAAAGAAGGATTTGAACAGAAAATAAAACATGTCCAACCATTTTATCTACATTTAAGCCTTGTTGGGCATAATCTATTTTAGTCCATCTTTTTATATTATTTGGATCACATCAATCAATATCTTCTTTCTACTTTTCTATACATCTTTTTATAAAAAGTCAAAAAATGTACTTATTTAGGATATCCCAAACCACCCCTTAATGTAAAACAATATTCTATCACTAAACATGTTCAACCGTAAAAAGGTAAGGGGTTCCATTCGCCACCCTATGTCGAACCACAAAAATAGAAAGGGTCTCATTGCCACCCTGCTCCTGCAAGGAACCAATCACCATTAATAATGAGATTTGTAAACACCATTAATAATCAGATTTGTTAATACTACAAGCTATTTTTGTAACCTATTTATTTTCTATGATCGAGGATCAAACAACTCAATTTTTTGATTTTTTAATACAGTTTCCAAGAGCTTAATGTAATTGGGAAACACTCTCTCAAACAATAGTTATAACTCAAACTTTGTTTTTACTACTAATTTCACTAGTAAAAGACAAAACAAATGTATATTAATATTGAAATCATATCATTTAAATTGTAAAAATGTAACTTTAAAAAAATTAATTGATTTTTTACATCAGTACTCTTTATGATAGCATTCACCATTCTCGAGAAATGGTGAAGGGTGTTCCTTATGAAACTAATGCATTCTCTTATGCTTTTTTTATCGTTGTGGATTCGTGAAATGAGAGTAATCATTGACATCCTTCTCTCTTAAAATTTTTTTGTCTTCCTTATCTTGCACTCTTAATTTTCTCAAATCTTGATCTCGATCAACCTGTGTTTCCCAATCTAATTTGAAAGCGGTATCTAACGAGCTATTCTACATGTCAAACCTCCAATGACTCTCAAGGTACATGTATACTTTGGAGATAAACTCGCAACGCTTGTCAACATTCCAAAATAGAGGCAATTGGAAAATGGGTGAAGCACTAATAAATCCTAAATTGTGAAATTGTGCCCCATTTAGTCTTCCATTTTATCTTATAGACCTAGAGATCCTGCTTTATTAAGAATTACCAGAAAGGGCACATTAGCAGCACATGGTTGTTTGAATTGAGGGGTGAATGTGGGATTTCTTACTGTTAGCTGTATATTATTATAGATGTATATTATTATAGCTGTATATCTTATCTCTATCTCTTTCTATGCTTATCTCTATCTTTTCTGTACCTATCTAGGTTTCATTTTCTGTACCTATCTAGGTTTCCTTTCTGCCTATATATACAGGCTTCTCCTCTTGTATTATTCATTCAATTTAATATAGAGTTTCTCTTTTCTCTTCTTTCTCTATTTTCATAACATGGTATCAGAGCCTAGGTTCTCTCCTAGTCTCATTTTTTTTCTGGTTCTGTCCCTGATTGGTTTCTGCTGGCTTCTGCGTATCTAGTTCCTCTCTGTTTCAACGATTGGACTACAGCACACTTTTCGTCTCTTCAAGAAGAAGCAAACGCCACCAGAATCACCCTCATCGGCCATCACACGCGCCATCACGCGCCACCCAAAGATTGGCACGTCGGCTTGCTTCAGTTCTACTCTCGACACGCTCCCATACACGTCGTCTCAGCCGGCTTCCCTCGGCTTCCGCATCAGCCTCGGCTCACCTTCGACTTCCGCATCAGCCTCAGCTCGCCCATCGGCTTCCGCCTCAGCCGATTTCCCCTCGGCTTCCGCCCGGCTTCTCTCAGCCGCGTGCCTTGTTTGGTTTAGCCGCTGACGTCAGCCTCTCTCAGCCCCTGGCTGGCTGCTGACATCATCACAGCACAGTGCTGACATCAGCCCTACTTGTTCCTAAGGTTTTTTTGGACTTCTGAATCTGTTGATGACCTCCGTTTTGGCATTTATGGATCGTACTGACAATATCCAATTTGTTCCTATTATACTTGATGGGTCTAATTATGTTAGTTGGGCCCAAGCTCTCTCTAGCTTCATTAAAGGGAAACGCCTTTGGCGGATTATTACTGGTACTCTTTCGAAACCCAACCAAAAGGAGGATGAGACGGACTCTGCATTCGATGACCGTCTTGACGAATGGGAAAGTAAAAATTATCAAATTATCACATGGTTCCGGGCTACCTTAGTTCCTTCCATCAATCTTCAATTTGGACGCTTTCAGGACGATGACTCCATTGCCTCTCCTGCCAAAGCAATTTGGGATTTTTTGAAGGAACGTTATCAGACCACTGGCCATGCTCATCAATATCAACTGTTGCAGACTCTTCATCACATGCGCCAAGCACCTGGTCAATCTCTCAATGACTTCATATCCCACATGTCGTCCGTTTGGGACCAGCTCGCTCTTTCTGAACCTTCATGGGCTCATTCTGATGATGCACAGCTATTTATTACTTATCGGAATCATCAGCGACTATTACAGTTTCTTATGGCTCTTCATAGCACTTTTGAGCCTGTGCGTGCTTCTTTGCTTCATTGTTTGCCCTTGCCCACTTTAGAGCAAGCCATTACTGAGCTCTTATCAGAGGAGACTCATTTTGGGAGTCTCAGATCTCACGACATGGATTCTATTCTTGCTACTCCATCTTCTCAGAGTTCCTCATCTTTACAGCCACTCATATGCAGTTATTGTTGCAACCGAGGCGTGCCAGCCACTCATTCTCTTGTTCACTGCCAGGTTCGCGAATGCTTGACTTATTATAAGACTGTTCCGGGCCATCTCCAAAGCAATTGTCCTTGAGCTCCCTCCACTACTTCATCTAAGAAAGGGGCTTCTCGTTCTAGGTCTCAGTCCAAATTTCACCCCGGTTCTCGCTCTGCTACTGTTGCCTCTGGGGGTTCTTCTGCTCCTTCTTTCTCTATGGATGATGTTGAATCCATTATCCACCAGGTGCTCAACAAATCGGGTACTCCTCCTTCTACTGCTCTTTCAGTAACCTCAGGTAACTCTTCATGGTATTTTGATTTCGCATGCTGTAATCACATGACTTCTGACTCCACTCTATTTTCTTCTTTGTCATCATCATCTTCTGCTCCCACTATACACACTGTTGATGGTTCTCATATGCATGTTAGTCATATTGGCCAAATCTCTACTTCCACTGTGTCTCTTTCTGATGCTTACCATATTCCTTCTCTTAAAATGAACCTTATCTTTGTTGGTTAGTTATGTAAACTTGGTCTAACTATTACCTTTTCTGCTAATGATTGTTTGGTGCAGGACCCTCAGACAAGACAGATCCT